CCCCCTGTCCTACCCTGACCCCAATCTGTTTTGTTTGTTTGTTTTAGAGTATCCCAGTTTTGGCTCGAGTTTTAAACTGTGGAGCCTGGTGAATAATATGGGGTTTTCCCCCCAACAGCATACATCCTGGGTGTAGAGAACCCACTGTGGAAGCCCACCTATCTCCTCTCTTCATTTTGGGAGTAGCATGTCCTGGGGAGAAGCACACAGCCCCCAAACTGGTGTGTGTGTGTGTGTATGTGTGTGTATGTGTGTATGTGTGTGTGTATGTGTGTGTGTGTGTGTGTGTGTGTGTGTGTGTGTGTGTGTGTGTGTGTGTGTGTGTGTGTGTGTTTCTCTCGTGCTGGATGTGTCTGGCCATTTTCAAACGGCAGCCAGGAGGAGCAATTTTGGAAATGTGTGTTGATGCCACAGAGAAAGTGCAGGCCACCTCGGTGACAGACGTGGGCCTGCCGCGGAGCTTCTGCCTGTGTCCCCTTCTGCTGGGAGTGTGTTGGGGCTGACCGGGCTGAAGACCTGTCAGCACGGCGGCGGGCTGGGAGGGAAGGAGCAGAGGGGCCCAGGGCCGCCAGGTGTGGTGTGTTTGTTGAGTGACTGAATGAATGACCCACTAGCTGGGGGTTACAAGCTATGGCCCCTGGGCCAATCCAGCCCACCACTGGGTTTTTGGACAGTCTTGTGAACTAAGAACGGTTTTCACATTTTTAACTGGTAAGGAACCAAAAGAAGAATTTCGTGACATGTGAAGATTACATGAACTAGGGGTTTTAGTGTCCGTACCGGACGCTGTATTGGCACAGAGCCACGCCCTGTCTGTTTACACACTGTCTGGCTGTTCGGTGCTCTCCTGGCAGAGCGGAGTAGTGGTGATAGAGACCATACGGCCCGCAGAGCTGAAAATACTCACCCTCTGCCTGTTCAGCAAACATTTCCTGCCCATTTCTGTCCTCGGTACCTCGGGTTTATAGGAGAAAGAACGGGGCCTGGGAGGCGGCCACAGCCAGGCTCTCCCAGGGAGTAGGGCCAGGCCCCTGGAGTGGTGGTGGCGGCTGTGGTGATGCCAGATGCTGCCAGATGCTAGAGGTTTGGTCTCAGGCAGAGGTGGGAAGCACCCATTTCCTCTCGGGGGCAGGAGGGGAGCTGAAGGGGCGCCCAGCAGGCCAGCCGAGGGATTTGAGAAGGAATGTGGGGACTAGATCCCCTGAGAGGCCTCCAGCTGCTTTTAACCCCACAGCTGGAGCTCACCCCAGCTGCGAGAGGGTAGGGAAGGGTGTGGAGCCAAGAAAGCCAGATGTGACCTCTGGTGCCAGGGAGGCTCTGCTCTGGGAAAAAGAGCTCGCTTTATAGAGCAAAGAAGTGGGTACGAGCGCAGGCAGGGTCGGCTGGCTGGGACTAGGCAGAAATGGCCATACCTCAGCCTCACCAATTGGGCTGTGTGGCCTTGAGCAAGTTACCTACCCTCTCTGAGCTTTATCACCCATCTCAGGATGTTATGAAGATCGCATGTGGTGACCTCTTACCTTCGTCTAGCAGAGTGTCTGGCACCCAGGAAATGCATAATAAGTGCTCATCATCCACCCTTTATTGGCCCCTTCTCGTCTCCCCTTTAACCTCACCCTCCACACCCCATCTCACCACCGCACCATCTTTCCGAGGCTCTCAAGCCCAGACATTCCAATACATGGGCCAAAGACAACTACTCCCTGGAGATTCCAGCGAGGCCCCCCACTCGGTGAGCCTCTGTCTGCCTTGTGGGAGGGAGGGAGGCCCTGTTGTGCGGGAGAGGACGTCCCCTGGGACGGCTGTGCGCTTGGGCTAGGCTGGGGTCGAGTTGAAGGAGGTCAAGCCCCAGAGCGCAGCCCTGCCCTGGCCAGACCCGCCTTCCGAACTGGGCATTCTGAGACCCTTTCTGCCCTGGGTTATTTGGCCAGACTCAAGACCCAGCAGGCTGTCTGCCCCCATGGTCCCCACCCCAGAAATTCTGATTTGATTGGTTTGAGGTGGGGGCCTGGGCACCAGGATTTTTTAAAAGCCCCCCACCCCCAGGTCCCTCCAGGGTGCCACCAGGGTTGAGAGCCCCAGATCTGATCTAGGCAAACCCACAAACCCACTTGTTCTATAAATGATGAAGTCAAAGCCCAGAGAGGAGCAGGGACTGCCCAGAGTCAAGGGGGTTCCAAGGACCAAACCTGACCCTCCCTTTGCTGGGCGGGCCCGCTGGGAGGTGGTGGAGAGAAGGCCTCCAGGAAGCGGCTGACTTCCCCTGGGAGGGGCTTTGCCTTGTTGCCAGGTCTAGGATAGTGGGATAGTAAAGAGGCTGGCACAGACCCTGTCCAGAGGCAAAGCTGTCCCCAAGCTGTCTGCTCATCTCCATGGAAACCCCAGGCGGCTCACCTTCCCAGCCA